CTTTATTTGTTTGTTTCTCTCTCTATCTCTATATCTCTCTCCCTCCCTCCTTCTACCGACTTCAGTGCGCGTGCGCGCTCTCACTCAGAGTGGGCAATGGGCGAGGCCAGCGGTTGCCCTCGCACCCTCCGCGCACGCAGGGGGGGGGAGGAAATGGGGGGGCTGCTTGCGGGCACCTTTTTTTGCGTCCTGCGTGCCCCCCGTCTCTCTTGCTATCGTTGTGAGTGTTTTCTCTCTCGTTCGCTTCTTCCTCCCCTTTCCTCCTCCTCTCTCTCTCTCTCTCTCTCTCTCTCTCTCTCTTTCTGTGTCTCACTTCCTCACTTTCCCTCTCTATCTCTCTCGTCCTTATTTCTCTTCCTCGTGGTATTAGTCCACTTGTGTCTTTACGAGTGTCTACCTATATTGATATAGTAGGAGATGTCTATGCATATAGCAATGTATACGTCGATGCTAACGTTCATATGTCTGTACATATATGTATGTATATGTATTTTTCCCTGTGTGCAGAGATGTGGACACAAACGCATCTGCACATATGTTTGCCAGTGGTCAAACTAGTACCCGCACGCCTGCATGTCCATTTAGCCTGCTCTTCGTCTTGTCATCCATAGACACTGTCATAGATCTAGATTCAAAGATTCATACGTTCATTTGTCTATCCATCCACCCATATGTACCTGTGCAAACGTCAACCAACACATCCAGTCATTCGCTCCCGGTCCGTCCCTTTAATTGCCAAGTTGTATTTACCCATCGAACGATTTCTTTTTTCTTTGTTTTTGTATACATGTATCCGTGTTTATGCTAGTTTCTATATCGTCGCATGTATCCTTCCATCGATGGTGTTCAGTTCTGTGTAACCCCCCTGCATCCGTCCATGTAATTTTGTATACATACATGTGCTCATCGATGCAGGGATGTCTATGTCAATGCATCGGTCAACGTGTGAATATACCCTGGGTATACACATACATATGTACATATACAATCCAACCGTCCGCTTGACCATCTGTCAATCCACCCACCCGTATAGTTACCGATCGACCTATATAGGTGTGGTGCCCATTGATGTAGGTATACTGGAGTATGTACGTATGTAAGTATGTATATATGTATGGATGCGTATAGTTTTGTGTCCCCGACCACCCATTTATCCACCAGTGCATGTGTGTTGATCCGTTTACCTACGCGCCCAGTCTAGTGATTTTTGCTATCCACGCAATGGTATTGAATGTGTAAGTTGCCCGCAAAGACGTTCCAGGCACACTGCGCCAACAGTTGTTCTTTGTCATGCGTGCGATAGGTATTAGCTATAAATTCGCACTGACAGAACATGGGTGTAAAGCCGCACAAACGGAGTATTTGTGCAACCCTTCGTGAATGACCTACGAACGGAAGTCAATTGTAAAGCCAGGCGAATGGATTCCATTCGTAATCCACATAGTGAGCACCAATGGATACAACGCTTGCTCACGGCATCCTTGGAAATCCGTACATTGAGAGGCAATTGTGTGTAGAACGCCATGAAAAGGAATCCTCGTGTAAATTTTCAAAGGAGAAGGATCCTGATTAGAATCCGCACAAGAAGAATCACATTGAAAGATACCCACACGAGGATGTCCTTCGAAAGGGAGCCAAAACAACTTCTGGGACGAAACCCCAGAATTACATCCACAACCGTTTGTTTGTTGTTGTTGTTGAACATTATTACTTCTAAAGAATAATTATTGTTGGGACCCCTGGTGCACGCCCCCCCCGCCGCGCCTCGGCCGCAGCCACATTTTCATCATTTTCGTGAGGAAGTCTCAGGCAAAACGGGTTGGTCCAGATCCGGTTGTGTTGTTACGATCGGTTTTCCCTTGCAAAAAATAAGGCAAAGTGGACATTTCTTGTTCTAACATGACCAAACTTCAAGAATCCCTTGCAAAAAATGACACGAAGTGCACATTCGCGCGCGCAAGACGAAATCCTTCCAAAACCTTAGTCTTCGTAGCGATTTTCACATAAAAACATGAAAAACCCAATGGTTTTTCAAAAAAAGGGTTTCAAAAATTCACCCCGCGCGCTCTTGCGGATTTCTTAGGAAACCCAATACTTTTTCAACATTTCTGTCAAACGGGCTCTTGCGAGCAACTTTTTCACGTGCTTCGAACTTCTGCAACAAAGGTTGCGCGCCTGCCAGGGCCATCATCCCTGTCAAATAATACCATATGGGACACATTCGTTTTTTCTTCGCGCGCGCACGCCGAAATCTTCAATTGCAGGGGGAAAAGTCGTATACTAAGCTAGCTTCCACAAAATGTTACCACAACAAGTCATTGTACCCATGCGCCAGTGTAGTAGCCAAGGTCGTCCGCAGGCCACGAAGTGAAGTGTCCGAACGTCATAGGGCGGGAAGCTGGGTGTGGGTGGTGGCGAAGAGTCGTTTGGAAACTTGGTAGAGCTTGAACCGGCTCCCCCACAAAGTGGGGGTATTGCCCGCCTCCTATGAAAACCCTGGCACTGGTGAGAACGGGGTGTCCCCAGTCTTAAATGATTGTTGTTGTTGTTGTTGCTGTTGTTGTTGTTCCCAGCGCCCCCCCAAAAAGAAAAGAAGCAATATCATGGATTCCATGCTTAATTGTTTTCCCGCCCGTCATCCAAACTTACCTGGGTTCTTCTCAAACATTTTCTGGGCTGGTGAGGAGAACTGATATTTTATTGAGTGAATTATGGACGGAGTCCTTTTCTCGTTCGAAGTTTCATTTGGTGTAGGCAGTCGTCTATTTGATATCCATTGTGTGGACTGCAGATCTAATCTTCCTGCCTGGATTTGCATTCGGATTCTTTGTGTAAGAAGTTCGCGTAATTGTTTTGCCTCAGACCCTGCTCTGTATTACATTATTGTAGTTGGTCCGTGGAAGCGACGTGACAGAACATCGCGCACCGCAACACACAACGAAACGAACAACGCAAAACAAAATAACAAACATGATAACGTCGAGCAGAACCGTCGCCTCTTGGGGCCTTCTTGGGCCTCTTTGCAGCCCTTTTGGGAACTTCTCCGGCTATCTCGTGGCGAGATTTAGGGATTTCTGTGCCGTCTTGGAGCGTCGGGGAGCCGAAAAGGTGAGAACGTCAACATCATTCCACGAACCAGGGGATAACATAGATTTGTACGTTCTGGGGCCCTCTTGGGAGTGCTTTCGGAGGCCTCTTGGGGCGTCCTGGAGAGCTTTTGAATCGTCTGGAGTCCATCTTGGGCGTCCGGGGGCGATCGTTCGGTGATTCTGTGCCCTTCTGGACCGTCTTGGTGGCCTCCTGGGATTGTTTGCCCGTTGGGGGGCCTTCCTGAGCGTGGGGGCCGCCCCAGAGCCCACCGCGACACAACCTGGGAGCCTCCAGGAGCGCCTGGGAAATTGGGGGCCCGGGCCCTGAAGGACTTTACAGATCCGTGGCTTTTCAGGGCTGCGTGGGCCTTAGGGCACCCGATTTCATGCCAGAGGCACGGTGGCATACATATATATATATATATATATACATACATACATACATACATACATATATCTATATATTATAACTGTATATATACACATACTCGTGCACATGTTGTTTGTGTTATCTCTCTCTCTCTCTCTCTTGTTAGTTTATTGTCTCTCGATATGTCTTTCTCTCTCGATCTATACATATATACATACACATGCATATCCACATACGTATATACATACATAAATATATACATATATACATATATACATATATATGTATATATACAGAGTCGTGGTCCTCTCTCATTGGTGTTTCCTCTCTCTATATATATATATATATGTATTCCCCTTTCTCTCCACGTCTTCGTCTCTCTCTCTCTCTCTCTCTCGCTCGCTCTCACTTTCTCTCGCGTTCTCTCTCTCTCTCTCTCGCTGTATCTCTCCCTCTCTTTCTCATGTAGGCCGTCCTCCCTAAGTGACTTCACAGAAATCTGTTTTTCCTCTCACTATAGATGTCTCTCTCTCTCCCCCCTCATCCCCCCCCCCATCGCACCGATGCGTCCCGTCAGTCGTCATTCTCGTGCGCGCGCGAGGCCGCGGGCGATGCGCCAGCTCCGATGGCCGCGGGCATGCCGCCGACCCTCGCAGGGAGGGGCCGTGCCCTCGCCATTTTGCGCCGTCTCGGCACGCTGTGTGACAGTTCGGGTAGTGTGTTCGTGTTCCTCCTCTTGTCACCCTCCCTCCCTCCCCTTGTTCTCCCTCCCCCCTTCCCCTTGCCCCGCCTCTCCCCTCACCCTCCTCTTCTCCCCTCGCCCCCCAATCCGCCCCGCCCATCACTCCTACCCCTGCGGAAGGCATCCCGCCCCCTCCGCGCATTGGGCATTTGTTGCACAGGATTGAGCCCAGTCAGTATCCCCCGTGCGTTTTTACCATCATATTTTTGTTCAGTGCTTCAAGCTGGGCGTTCCGATCGCAGCGTGGGCCTCATTTTCGGGTCGGCTCTGTGTTCCCGCCGTTCAGGATGCCGCTTTCGCCCATTCGTGGGCCACTTTCTGGATAGGAGTCTTTCATCATCGTTGTCGCCCCCTTCTTTTCCCTCCTCCGCCTTTCCCTGGTTCTTCTGCTCCTCTCGCTCCTTCCACTCCAATTCACGCTGCAGCTGCGCGTCCTCCTCCCCCTCCCCCTCCGCCTTCATCATGCTCCAACTGTCCGTCCTGCTCAGCTCCTCCGCCTCCCCACTCATCCTACTGCTTCTCCTGCTCCTTCCTTTGCAATTCCTGCTGTTGATGTCCGTCTTCGTCCTCATCCTTCCTCGTCCTCCTTCTTTTCCTCATGCTCATCCTCCTTGTCACACCCCACATCCTCCTCCACATCCTCTTTCCCCCCCTCCTCCTCCTCTTCCTCCTCCTCCTCCTCCTCCTCATCCTCCTCCTTTTCCTACACCACCCATGTTCCCACCTCGATATTTCCTCATTCCCCCCCCCGTCCCGTGCTCGGCCCTGCCACCCCTTACTCTGTGGTTCTTTTGTGGTTATGTTGTTTGTGTTCCTACCTCTCTCCCTCAACGTTTTTCCCTTATTTCCCTCCTCCGTCGCCCCTGATTGTTCTCATCTGTCCTTCTGCCGTCGCCGTGTCGTTCTTCTGCTTACGTCTCCGGCCTCCATCCCCTGTCCTTTCTGCATGCCGCTGGCCGGTAGCCCTCGTTCTCAGCATCCTCCACATCCAATTTGATCCTGACCACTCTGCCGCGAGGGCGCGATGATAATCGCGCGCCGAGCATCGCGGGCCGCAATACGCGAAGTTGAGTAACCCAGAAGCTCTGCGCACAGCTGAGACGCTGAACTAAAGACCGCCTTTGGGCTCAGGAGGGGCTTGGGCCTTCGGGCCGCCCCCTGGATGTATGTCGATGTATGTCGAGGGACCTGTTTGTGGCCTGGGCCCGCCATGGTCAGAAGAGCCCATCCTCCTCCTCCTCCTCCGCCTCTCCGCCTCCCTCCTCCCTCCTCCTCCTCCCCCTCCTCCCTCCCTCCTCCTCCTCCCCCCTCCCCCTCCCCCTCCCCCTCCCCCTCCCCCTCCCCCTCCCCCCCCACGATGGCCGTAGCAGCGCTGCCTACACCGTGCCGTGGAGCGCTCCCTTCGGCGCGGGAGGAGCGCGCCTGCTCAGCTCCCTGGGCACGCGGAGGCAACGCTGCCGCTGCCGGCAGCCGTTCCTCCCAGCTGCAAGGCGGGAGCCCCGGCCACTCACGTCGGGGGGGGTCCTCGCTCGCGGCAGGGCGGGGCCCCGATGCGGTGCGGGCCGAAGGAAAGGGAAGTCTGCTGCGCATGCAGCTGGTTTCGGCCCCACCGAGGGGCCCATGCCTTGACACACAGCCGCCTCCGGCGCCGGGAGGCGCCAGGAAAATCAGCTACGTGAGCTGATTCTGACCCCCCCCCTTTGCTATCCCCCCCTTTCGCCTGGCCCGAGCTGTGTTGCTGGACTCTGGCTGCGTCTTGTTTCTCGTTTTGGCGGGGAGGTACAGGAAGGCAGGCGGAGCAGAACGAAACACATCACCAGAACGAAACGAACAACAACGTCGAGGTCCAGCCCTGCAAGAGGGGGCTCTCGCTTGCTGTGCGCCGCCGCGCACACAGTGCAGAGACAGACGCGCGTGTCTTGAGAGGCGCTCGCCCAGAGCCACGGTGCAACACCCCCCCTTCGAAGAAAAATTAATAATGGATTACCCATTTGTCGTTGAAGGTAGGTATTTTGGGACTCCCAGATTCCAGTCTACTTTAAGCGCCTTCCTGCCTCAATGATCGAGTGGCTTTCCCTCTTCCGTCCTCCTCAGGGAGCGGGCGGACATCCAATCTATTTTCAACGCCTTCCTGCTTCATGTTTCTACCTACCTCTTCCGACCAATGGGTAGGGCAGCGTGGACCGGTGACGGGTCCCGGTTTCCATGCGACATCGACGCGTTCCGTCGCCAGATGAGGCGGATTTGGCTTCGTTTTTTCCTCCTCCTCCTTCCCGCGCGCCAGATCCACGGATCCTCAATCAATGTTACAGTGCACCCGACCCCTGGTGGCGGAAGCCAATTCTGCAGTTCTCTTGGGGCGATGGCCACATTTAGCCAGGGTGGTGTCGCGTCGCCGTTTCTGGGGAAACCGCGTCCTGCCTGCTGTAGTCCCAGCCCTGTCCCCCTCCTCGCCCTGGTGGGAGGCCGATGGGAATGGGAGGTGACAGGGGGGGGGAAGGAGGAGATGGGGGAGAGGAGAGAGAAAGAAGAGATGAACGAGGAGAAGAGAGATGGTGAGCTGACAATCATGGTGCGCTCGAGCCATATCTGACATCCGACCCCTCCGACCCATCCCTTCCTTCACATGGCGCTGATGTCTTGTCGATCCGACGACGGGTCAATAGCGGACCTGGACCCAACAGAAGGACACAATCGTGTTACGCGCAATCAGGCAAGGGGATCTGTGCATATTGGATGAAGTGGTTGCGGCGGTTGAGTTGGAGAACGAGCAGAAGGAAGAGGAGGAGGATGTAAAGAGGAGGGCGAGGAGGAAGAGCAGCAGTAGGAGCAGGGGTGGTAGGAGCGGGAGAAGGAGGAGAAGGAGGAGGAGGAGGGAAGGCGGAGGCGGGAAAGGGAGCGGGGAGAAAACGATGAGTAAGCAGTCGCATTCAGAAAAGTAGCCCGCGCGGGTTCTAGAGTGTTATTCTGAACGACGGGAGCACAACGCCGATCCGTAAACAGACCCATGATGCAGTGGAGGCGACATAAACAACGATTCTCACCGTCCCAGTGTGCGAAACCATATCTTGGCGAATGACCCAGTTGTGAGTACCGCAGTGATGCGCGTCCTTTTCGGTGAAGCTCCCTGTAGGGCTACGAAACGTTTGAGGGGCGTGCCGAAATCGGTGGCGGGGGCGCATGCGGGCGCAGCAAATGAGGCTTTCGATGGCCGTCCCTACGGGGCCACGCGGCGCGTTAGAGGTGTGCCAACATGGGTGGCGGGGACGCATGTGATCACGGTCGCAGGACCCTTGTCAGAACGGCTCCTTATGGGACCACGAAGCGTTTGGAGCTGTGCAAATATGTGTGGCGGGAACGCATATGATCACAGTCGCTGGAACCTTCGGTGGAGCTCCCGATTGGGCCACGAAGCGCGTGAGGCGAGCGCCGACATGGGTGGCGGGGACGCATGTGATCACAGCCATTGGGGCCTTCGGTGGAGCTCCCTATGGGGCCACGCGGCGCGTTAGAGGTGTGCCGAAATGGGTGGCGGGGACGCAAATCACAGCCATTGTGGTTTTCGGTGGGGCTCCCTGTGGGGCCACGAGGCGTGTGAGGGGTGTGCCGACATGGGTGGTTTGGACGCATGTGATCACAGCCACTGGGCCATTCAAAACGGCTGTGCTCCCTATAGGGCCACGAAGCGTGTGAGGGGTGTGCCGCGTGGCGGGAACGCATATGGTTTCAGCCACTTGGGGCCTGCGGTCGAGCTCCCTATGGGTCCACGATGTACTGTATTGGCTGCGCTGAAATTTTGGACACGCGGAGGGCAGAGGCAGGGATGGGAAGAGGCGGAGGAGGGGGAAGGGGAGGGGGAGGAGATGCAGGGCATTGTATTTTCAAAGCGAGGAGACCCAACACCACAGCATGGTTGGGAACCAATACATGGAGGGTGGCGCGCCACTCTCAGCACGTTTTCGTTGGAGAGATCACAGTAGGATTCATATGGCGTAATTGCGGAGAGCGGGGAAAGGTGAATAAACGAGAGGAAGGAGTTAAGGGGGGGAGGGGCAGGACAAGGGCGAGGAGGAGAGAGAGAGAGAGAGCGCACCAGTTTGGACCAGGTCGGCTTAGGGCTGCACGAGCCTGCCTCGTAAGGCGGGAGGCGCCGCGGAAAGAGCAGGGGTGGGGCGCTGCCCTCCCCCCGGGCGCTGTCGAAAAAAGGCCCCTGCTGGAAAGCATAGCGGGCTTGTAGTGAGCGCGCCGCTCGAGGGCCCGTCTGCGCACCCGACAAAAACAGGCGCCGGCTGCTAGCGTGCTTTGGCGTGCGCGCCTCGGTGCCTCAGTAGTGAAACGCCCGCGGAGGAGGAGGCGGAGGAGGAGGAGGAGGAGGAGGATCCCCTGGGGCATCCCCGCGGCGGCCCAGTGTGACAGCTGCGGGGCGGGTGCCAGTTGCTCCCGCAGCACACTCTCGGAGCAGCGAGGGCGCCAGCACCGGCGCGCGGAGCGGTGAAAGCTGAGGCACGGGGCGTGGAGGCTTCCGGGAGTGAAGCCCCAGAAGGGGTAGGGCGGCGGAGAAGACTGTTTCTGGATTCGGAGGGGGAAGGGTACCCATACCTAGACCCGTTCCTCGTTTTCCCCAATTTTGGCCTCCTCGGAGCCACCGCTGGATTCGCCTCGAAACTCCTGGTCAGAGCGCGCTCCAGGAGAGGTCCGGGGAGTAGCGGTATAGGTACCTTTTGGTTTCCCCAGTGGGCTGTTCATAGATGACTTGGCTGGTTTGCGCAAGGGGGTTGGCTCGCCGGTGTAGCGCCGTGATGCTACCGATGGGGGCCATTTCGCGTTCACGTTCTCACTTTGGCCTTGCAGCCTCGATGTGCTGCGTGACGGATAGCCTTTGGTCCGTGCGTTGCGGCACCGTTCGTTCTGGGACGCTCCGAGCTCGAATGGGTCCTGGCTTTCGCCTTTGAAGGCGTCGAGTGATGCTCCCCAAGGATCGTCGAGATCGTCGAAGAAGTCAGGCCCTGGTGGGCCATGGTGCGCGGTTCAGGGCTTCATCTTGTTGAGGCTGGCCATAGAGTAGCCTTCTCGTCTATCTGGCAGGGGAAGAATATGGTGGCGCAGATCGTAGATCGTGATGGCAGTGTTGTGCATCGCTGTAGCGAACATGTGTCGCCATTGCATCGATGAGACTTGGCTGCAAAGCCTGCAGGCGTGCTCTGGCAGTGGCAAGTTCATCGGCACGACGGTAGAAAGCCTCAGCGATAGGTGTGATGCAGCCTTCGTTGGTGTCTTGCTCGCCGAGGTGGCTTTCCACTTTTGGGACATTGAGCATGCCCAGTTTGGCTTGGAGCACGCGGTGTTGAGCTTGGGCCCCCGTGGTTTGTGGTGGCCTCCTCTTGGAATACATCTTCGAATATCCCGGCGACGACTTGGTCGCCGATGACAATATGAACAGGCCGCCAAGCGGTAGCCACACGGCGGAGCATGGCGAGGGTATCCGCCCTGTCTCTGCGGATTGGGCCAAGCCGTGCGCTCGAGCTGAGCGGTTTAGTCCGTGACCCAACCCGCCTTCGACTCCGAAACCCGCCCTGGCGGGAAGCGTGTGGGCTTGGTGCGTGCAGGCACCATGGAGAGAAAGAGAGGAAGAGAAAGAGAGAGAGAGAGGTACAGAAAGAGAGAAACAACAACAACAACAACAACAACAACAACAACAACAACAACAACAACAACAACAACAACAACAACACCAATTACTAGCACGTGGGGACACACCGTTCTCACCAGTGCCAGGGTTTTCATAGGAGGCGGGCAATACCCCCACTTTGTGGGGGGGCCGGTTCAAGCTCTACCAAATTTCCAAACGACTCTTCGCCACCACCCACACCCAGCTTCCCGCCCTATGACGTTCGGACACTTCACTTCGTGGCATGCGGACGACCGTGGCTACTATTCAGGGCCCCGCGGCCGACGACGACGGCGTGCGCGCGCGAAGAAAAAACGAATGTGTCCCGCATGGTATTATTTGACAGGGATGATGGCCCTGGCAGGTGCGCAACCGTTGTTGCAGAAGTTCGAAAAAGTTGCTCGCAAAAGCCCGTTTGACAGAAATGATTAAAAAGTGTTGGGTTTCCTACGAATCCGCAAGAGCGCGCGGGATGAAATGTTGACATTTTTGTTTGAAAAACCATTGGTTTTTAACGTTTTTATGTTAAAATCGCTACGAAAACTAAGGTTTTGGAAGGATTTCGTCTTGCGCGCGCGAATGTCCACTTTACCTTATTTTTTGCAAGGGATTCTTGAAGTTTGGTTATGTTAGAACAAGAAATGTCCACTTTAGCTTTTTTTTGCCAGGGAAAACCGATCGTAACAACACAACCGGATCCGGACCAACCCGTTTTGCCTGAGACTTCCTCACGAAAATGATGAAAATGAGGCTGCGGCCTAGGCGCGGCGGGGGGGTCGTGCACCAGGGGTCCCAACAATACTTATTTTTTAGAAGTAATAATGTTCAACAACAACAACACCAACAACAACAACAACAGCAACAACAGCATCAACAATAATAACAACCACAACTCCAACCACAACCACAACCACAACAACAACAACAACCACAACCACAACCACAACCACAACCACAACCACACCCACAACCACAACCACAACAACAAACACATGAGAGAAGGACAGGGGGAGATGAAACGAACAGGATGTGGAGGCTGAGGGGGGAAATGAGGGTCAGCAGCAGCATCTCAGGACCAGAAGAAGGGGGAATCCAACAAGAGGAGGGGGATCGTGGTCCCAAGGATGGCGAGTTCGGGGCGACCGCCCATTATTACGAGTATGACTGAGACGCGCAAGTGCTGGACGGACTCCTCAGGGTAGGGAGACGTCGTGCGAATGACTAGTAGGCGGAGATGGAAGATGGGTTGATCTAGCATTTCAGCACATCGCCTGTGGGAAACTGCTAGGGGAGGTTTGGTGTTTAGGGCCCATTTCCATTCCGCCGGGCCCAAGTGACACCCCCTCGCTCCATGCTGCCCTTTCCTCCTCCCCCACGCCTCTCGGCCTCCGTGTCGTCGTCCTCGCCCGTTTGGTGGTCCTCATCTTCATTTCCCCCCCCCCTGGTATTTCTGCGAGTGGGCCTTGTCGGATTTGGAGATAGCACTGTACTGCGGTTTTCTTAGAATTTTCGCAGTGCCGCCGCCCCTTGAAGCTTCAATCCCCACGCCACAAGTGAAATCAAGGGGCCGCCTCTGTGCTCTATCTCGGCGGCGGCGGGATCCCCGCGCAGCCTACCTCTTGTATGAGGTTACTCAGGCGCCAGGCGTATCATCAAGCGGCGCACCAGAGTTGCGTTGTGATCTCTTCCTCCTCCTCCTCCCGTTCCTCCTCCTCCTCCTCCTCCTCCTCCTCCTCCTCCTCCTCCTCCTCCTTCTCCTCTTCCTCCTCCTGCTGTAGCCCTGCTGTACCAGACGGTGGGGTGCAGCCCGGGCCCCAGGTCGGGCGGCCCCTTCTCTGCTTCTCCAGGGCGCCCCCGCCCCCGGCCGTGACAAGAAGGAAGGACACTCGGGCGGGGATCGTGCTGCCGGTCCCCCCCTGGGCTCCCAAGGACTTCTGGCCCCCGCGTGCGGCCCCGCACCTGGCCGCTCCCGTCCGCCTCCTGTGCTTCTCTGCCGCCCCCCTCCTTCTCCTCGGTCTCCTCTTTGACCGCGTCGCGTGAGCCCGTCGCCCATGAGCGCGCGGCCCCGTGAGGACGGAGGGTCTCCCCGTGCGGGTGCGGGGGGCGGCCCGCTGTGCGACGAGGCGGCACTCGTGCGGGAGGCGGCCCTCTCGCGCGGGTTCGCTTCCCCTGCGCTCCATGGCTCCTGCGCCCTGCGCCTCCTGCGCCTGATAGCATACGACGCTTCTCGTGCCCGTTCTGCATGCAGGCCCCGATGGCAGGCTGAGCCTGCTGCGCCCTGCTTGCACAGCCTGCCCCTTAGGTGGGAATGGCGCAGGGGCCCTGCGCCAGCACGTGCACGCTTTTCCGATACACGATCAGCTTTCAGACGCATGGCATTGCCTCGAGGTCGAGTTGTTGTTGTTGCTGGTGTTGCTGCTGTTGTTGATGTTGAGTTGGTTGTTGTTGTGGTTGCTGTTGTTGTGGTTGTTGTTGTGTTGGCTGTTGGTGTTGTGGTTGTTGGTGTTGTTGTTGTTGTTGTTGTGGTTGTGGTTGTGGTTGTGGTTGTGGTTGTTGTGCTTGGTGTTGGTGTGGTTGTTGTTGATGTTGTTGGTGATGCTGTTGTTGTTGTGGTTGGCGTTGTGGTTGTGGTTGTTGTGGCTGGTGTTGTTGATGCTGTGGTTGTTGTGGTTGGTGTTGGTGTGGTTGTTGCTGTTGTGGTTGTGGTTGTTGTTGCGGTTGTTGTGGTTGTTGATTGTTGTGGTTGTTGTGGTTGTTGTTTTTTTGTGTGTTGGTTGTTGTGGTTGTGGTTGTTGGTATTGTTGTTGTGGTTGTTGTCTTCCTCCTTCGCCTCGCGCCCCTTCCCCGCCGCCCTTCCCCTCTCTTCGCCTTCCTTCCGCCCTCCATGGCGCGCCCGCCGCCGCCCCCCCCTGGGCGTGCGGCCGAGCCCGCCGCAGCGGGCCCCGCGGGCCGCCGGGGACATCCCTGCCGGACCCCTCCGTGCCGCGCTTCCGGCAGGGCCCTGGCCCGTCCTGCCGTGTGCCGTCGCACCGAGGTCTGAGACTGAGGTCGGCTCGGGGCGGGTGCCCGAATTCCGGGCCTCCCCGATGGGGTCGGGAGGACGGCTCGGCATCGTCGATGCAGCCGCGATGCGGCCCGATGCGGAGCCCGATGTTCTCCTCGCCGACGGCGGCGATGCATCGCCGGCGTCGCCGCTGCACCGCCGATGCATCGGCGATGCATCGATGCTGCATTGGCGATGCGGCGCGATTCTCCGCCCCCATCTACCTGGACCCCATCCAGGAGGCTTCTACTCTCGGATGTTCGGGGTGGCTTGGTCGGCGAAGGGATTCCTGTTCTTGAGGAGAGTTCTCCTGTCCTGGGTCCGACTGTACAGTCAACCCGCACAGCAAGGATGGGCCACTGTCCCCAGGGTGCTCTCGCATCCTTGCCTCCTTTTGGTCCATCCCTGGCCACTTTCGTTGGCCGCGCCCCGCTCGAAAAGCTTCGAAACGGCCTTCCATGGCCCGTGCATCCTTACCGCGCATCTTTATGATATGGGCAGACTCCTTTTTGCACCGAGCCCCCAGCAGTCACAAAGTTGGGCTGCTGCCGAGCGCCGGGCCGCCATTCGTAACATTATATCGCTGCGCGCGGTGCGCGCAGGTGCTCCCGGGCGGCGGCTCCTCTCGGGTACGCCCTGGAGTTGGTGCCTTCCTTTTGGCTCCCGCCTCGCGGACTCGCCTTTGTCGTCGTCGTCGTCGTCGTCGTCGTCGTCGTCGTCGTCGTCGTCGACCGCGCCGCCCGCGCGTGTCTGGCGCCCTCCGCGCCTTCTGGCGCCGCGGCCTCCGCCTGCCGCCCCGAGCGCCGCCGCCGAGCGCCGCCGCGCGCCTCTCCTGCTTCGCGCTGCCTCCGCCGCGCACTGTGGTGGCCAGGGCTGGACCTGAGCGCTGGTGTTGCTGGGCTCGGCTGTGTTCTGTTTTTTCGTTTTGGCAGGGAGGCGCAGGTAAACAGGTAGCGCCGAGCAGAACGAACGAACAACAAAACGAAAGCAAAACGGAAAACAACGAACGGCCCTGGTGGGGACAAGCTCCGGGGGTGCAGGCCTGTTCCCAGTGGGAACAAGAACATCATGCGTTGGGGCTCAAGAGACGGGGGTCGATGCAAACGGAGGTCAGTCAGAGCGCCGTATCTTTCAGGACCCTGCAGGGCCAGGGTCGCACTGATCCAGGTCTGGGTGCAGGATCTTGCAGGATCTTGCAAGGCCTGATCGCCTTGGGTTTGCACTGACTCGGGTCAGTGCGTCCCCGAGTGCGGCCTCCAAGATTCCATCGGTGCACCTTTCCCGTAGCGTGGGCCACCGGAGGCATCGACCCTTCATCTGTCGGCTCTGCCCTTGGTCCGAAGCCAGTGTGTGAAATCGCGCAAGAAGCCGCGTCGATCCGCCAGGGCCCTTGGTTCCCGACATCGGGCGAAGACGCCCATCACGAATCAAGTGCAACGCCCAGATCTCAGGTTAAGAACGCCGAAGCTGGGCCCGAGTTGATGGGGTCGGAGGATCCCGCAGCCTCGCCAATACATTGGCGAGGCGGCTCGATTTCGGAGCTCGGTGTTCTCCCTCGGGATGTCGCCGAGGCATCGATAATGCGTTGCACCGATCCCGCCTGTGCGACGCAGGAAGACTGGATCGATTGCTCGGACATTGACACGTAAGCTGCCCGTGGCAGGTCGCGCGCGAGCGCCCTCGTTCTCCACGTGCTGTGCCACGCCGGCGCCCGCGTGAGCCATTGCGTAAGGTCGCTGCGTCATCTTTCGAGTAAGGGATCGACTACATAATTGATTTACTCCCAACTTGATGTCCCGTCGAATCTACGAAACATACCTACAATGCTCCGTAGACCCACTGACCATTCCACGCGTTTGTTGTTTCATGCGCTCGACGAGAAATCAGTGTTTGGGTAAATCAATTCTGTAGTCGATCCCCTGCTCGAGTCTTGCGAAGGACGCGTCTCTCCTCTGGACGCCCCCACGGGGTCTCCTCCTCACGCGGCCTCGCGCTCGCCCGCGCGCCCGCGCGCCTGCCGCGAAGCCCCACGCGCCGACGCTGCCGGACAACCTCGTGCCCTACAAGGCCCGCGCCCCCCCCCCCCCCCCCGAGACAGGCGGTGCCGCGGCGGGGGCGCCTCCTTCGGTAGCAAGTCGTGGGAGCCGCGTGTGCCCTCGGAGTTCGGTTTTTGGAGCGCTTCAGCGTGCGCAACGAGAAAGCGCCGATTTAGCGTCGATGATTTTCGATGTAGCGTGCATCGGCGTCGATCGCATCGGCGAGCGTCGATTCGCAAGAGCCAGCAAGATGGCACGGGAGGCGGCCATGAGTTGCCACAGAAGCCACCCATTGGAACCCGTCGTTCCGTGACGAAAATCACGGCGCAGGGTCATCGACCGTCGTTCATCCTTTTGGGGACTTTCTCAGGCCCCGGGACCGTCAAGAAACGATTCGGGGGAAGGGTTCGAGAGCTTGCGGGGATCAGAAGGGTCGGCAGTTCTTCAAAAGGTTCGAGCATCGAGGGCGGAGGATTTCTTAGATGTTCTTGACGAGCTTGGTAGGTTTTTGGGGTGACCCCTGTGATGGGCGGAAAACGCATTGCGTGGCAGCGTGTCGCCTGATGTCTAGGCCTAGAACGCAAGTGAATCACATTGTATTTTCCAATGGGGCTGTTTTTTCGTTTGTGAAAAAGTTACGAACATTGTCCCAGTGCGACCCTACCTAGGAGTTGGAGCCCCTAGGAAAACAGCATTAGTAGTAACAGTAAAGCTAAGCTAAAGCTAAGTTAAAGCTAAGCTAAAGCTAAGCTAAAGTTAAGCTGAAGCTAAGCTAAAGCTAAGCTAAGGCTAAGCTAAGGCTAAGCTAGCACTAAGCTAAAGCTAAGCTAAAGCTAAGCTGAAGCTAAGCTAAATCTAAGCTAAAGCTAAGCTAAATCTAAAGCTAAATATACGCTAACGCTAAGCTAAAGCTAAGATAAAGCTAAAGCTAACTATAAGCTAACGCTAAGCTGAAGCTAAGCGAAAGCTAAGCGAAAGCTAAGCGAAAGCTAAGCTAAGGCTAAGCTAAAGCTAAGCTGAAGCTAAGCTAACGCTAAGCTAAAGCTATGCTAAAACCAAGCTAAAGCTAAGCTAAAGCTAAGCTGAAGCTAAGCTAAAGCTAAGCTACAGCTAAGCTAAAGCTACGCTAACGCTAAGCTAAATCTAAGTTCAAGCTAAGCTAAAGCTAAGCTAACACTAAGCTAAATATAAGCTAACACTAAACTGAAGCTAAGCTAAATATAAGCTAAAGCTAAGCTAAAGCTAAGCTAACACTAAGCTGAAGTTAAGCTAAAGCTAAGCTAAAGCTAAGCTAAGGCTAAGCTAACACTAAGCTAAAGCTAAGCTAAAGCTAAGCTTAAGCTAAGCTAAAGCTAAGGTAAAGCGAAGCTAACACTAAGCTGAAGCTAAGCTAAAGCTAAGCTAAAGCTAAGCTAAAGCTAAGCTAACATTAAGCTAAAGCTAAGCTAAAGCTAAAGCTAAAGCTAAAGCTAAAGCTAAGCTAAAGCTAAAGCTAAGGCTAAAGCTCCCAGGGGACTGGGGGAACCGCGGGGCGGGGACTTGGGGAACCGCCCGGGGCGTGTAGCACTGCCCGGCCCCTTTAAGCTAGAGAGTAAGAACCTTTCTAGGCAGAGCCTAGGTAGGGAAGAACAATGCTGGGCCACAACGCGCGTTCTACCTCACAAGCGGCGAACATATCCGTATCCGCGCCTTCGCGGTCTGGACTCTGGGGCGCGATCCCGCAGACACGCGGTCGTATGGGTGCGTTCCATGCGGGGCATCCGCGACAAAAGCGCCTCGTATCCGCATTGTCGCGGCCCAGGGGCCCGCCGGGTCCCCCTCCACCCCATAACGTGGGAAGCGTACCATTGGGTGCCCCCTGTAATTGTAAATGGATCGTGTGCTAACGGAGCCCCCCCCCTCCCCCCCTTCAAAGGGGAGGGTGTTTTCGGACCCACCCCCCATCCCCCTTTTTACTGTTTAAAAGGGGGGGTGAGGTTCGGACCCCCCCCCCCCTTTGCGCCGGAGAGGGGGGGGAGCATTTCGGCCGCCCTCCTGCGCCGGACACGGGGGCGGGGGGAATGCCTCCCACTTCCCTGTGCTGCGCGGGAGAGTGGGGGTCAGGGTTAAGTTGGTTGGGCTGGGGTGAAAGTGTTAGGGTTAGAGTGTTAGGTTTCGGGCGTTAGGCTTAGGGTATTAGAATTAGGGCTAGGGTCCGGGGGAGAGGGTTAGGGTTAGGGTTAGGGTTAGGGGCTCGGATTAGGGTGTTAGGGTTAGGGTTCGGGTTAGTGGGTAGTGTTTGGGTGGTAGGGTTAAGGTTAGGGTGATAGGGATAGTGTCAGGGGGTCAGGGTTAGGGTGTTCGGGCTAGGACTCGGACGTTAGGGTTAGGATTAGGGGGTGAGTGGATTAGGACAAGTGTTGTAGGTTTGTGGCGATTCGGGTTCGGGTTAGGATGTTATTGTGTTAGGGTTCGAGAGTCAGGGTTAGGGTTAGGAGTTCAGGATTAGGGTGGTAGGGTTCGGGTTAGGGTCAGGGCTACGGGATTAGGAGTAGGCGGTTAGGGTTCGGGTTCGGGGGATAGGGGGCTTTAGGGTTAGGGTTAGGATGGTAGGATTAGGGTTCGGGTTGTGTCTCAGGTTAGGGTTAGGGTATTATGGTTAGGGTTTGTGAGTTAGGGGGTTCAGGGTAGTAGGGTGAGGTTCAGGGTCAAGGTGAGGGTAATAGGAGATTAGGGGTTAGGGTTAGAGGTTACGGGTTAGGGGTCAGAGGTTAGGGGTCAGGGGTTAGAGCTTAGGATTGGTGTTAGATTTCGGGCTGGGGTATAGGTGTATGGTTGAGGTTAGGGTCAAGGTTAGGGTTATGATTAGGGTGAGGGTTAGGGTGAGGGTTAGGGGTTCGGGGGTTAGGGAATAAGGCTATGGTCAGGGGATAAAGGTCAAGGTTCGAGTGGTTGGGTTGTGGTGAGGGTGTTAGGGTTAGGGGATTAGGATTAGTGTGCTAGGGCTAGGGCTCGGGAGTTAGGTCTAGGATGGTAGGGTTAGGGCTAGGGTGTTGAGGTTAGGGTTAGGGCTAGGGCGGTCGGGCTAGGCTGGTAGGGTTAGGATTAGGGTTAGGAGTGAGGTATTGAGATTAGGGTTCGGGGGTTGGGCTTAAGATGGTAGGGTTCGGGGTTAGGATTAGGGTTAGGGACAGGGGCTTATGGTTAGGGTATTAGGGTTAGGGTTAGGGGATTAGGGTGAGGGTTAAGGGGGGTTCGAATTTGGCTGTTCGGATTTGGGTTCGGGTTTGGCGGTTTGGGTTTGGGTGGTAGGGTTCAGGTTAGGGTGATAGGGATAGCGTCAGGGGGTTAGGGTCAGGGTGGTAGGGTTAGGGCTAGGGTGTTACGGTTAGGGGGTTAGGGGTTAGGGTTTTAGGGTTAGGGTGGCAGGTCTGTTTTTTGAGGGGGGGTAGGGTTAGGGGCTAGGGTTAGGGTCAGAAGGTTAGGTTTAGGGTTAGGGGATAGGGTTTAGGGTGGTGGGGCTATGATGCGGGCTGAGGGGGTAGGGTTAGGGTGGTAGGGCTGAAGGGTTCTGGTGTAAGGGTCAGTGTCATGGGGATTCGGGTCAGGGTGGTATGATTAGGATGAGTGTGTTAGGGTAGGGGGTTGGGATAGGGGTTTCGGGTTAGGGGGGTCGGATCAGGGTAAGAGTTAGGGTTAAGCGGTTATGGTTCGGGTTCGGGGGTTAGGTCTAAGGTTAGAGGTAGGGCATGAGGGTTTGGGTTTCAAGGTTAGCAATCGGGAGTCAGGGGGTTCGGTTAGGGTTAGGTTCAGGGCAGGGGTGGAAGTAAGGTTCGAGTAGTAGGGTGAGGTTCGGGTGGGGGCGTGTCCGAATGCGGAATCCAAAGGAGGGTAGGGAGGGGGGGATTGCGTCGACGACGGATCGGGAAAGGGGGGGAGGGGGGGGTGTTCGCCGACGACGGACCGGGGAAAGGGAGGGAGGGGGGTCCCTGACCCCCCCTTGGGGGCATCCAGTGGCGCGCGCTCCATAACGTGACCCCCACCCATTCTCCCAGCTCCCAATGAGCGCCCCCTGCAATGCCCCCCACCCCGATTGGAGGATCGTGCCGCATCGCAAATACCTCGGCGATGCGGCCCAAATTGGAGCCCGACGTTCTTCATCCCACAGGCACCGATGCATCACAGCTGCATCGGCGATGCGGCTCGATGTGGAGTCCGAGTTTCTCCACACCGACGAACTGCGGACGTCGCCGATGCATCGCCGATGCATCGGCGATGCATCGGCGATGCGACGCGATCCTCCGACCCAATCGACTCGGACCCAGTCTGGAAGGCCTCGAGTTACTCGGACCACATCTGGGCCGCCTCCAGTCGTTCGGGGCAGGGCCCGGGAATTGCAATTTCGGGGCTCCCGCGGGGCCACTGTCCTGCAGCTCGATTGGGCCCACGTTAACTGCCCTCCTGTCATCTTCCACCTGGGAAAGTGGTGGGGGCATTGAGAAAGGGGGAGGTCACCCAAACTGATGCTTGCAGATGGTTTCGGCTCCGCCGCCGCGCGTTTTCCGTACTGGTCGTCTCTGACGCTATGAGGCTTTTGAAACACCAGTTGCATGCCGAAGGTGAAGGGGGGGACAGGGGACATGATTGGGGGTACTTCGACGGCGGGGTGTCAGTCGAGGGTGGACGGCCAGGACGGGGCATGAGGGAGGGGGGACGGAGAGTGGGGGAGGGCAGGTGGAGGGAGTTCTCGTCGTCCTCCTAGGCGAGCGCGAGAACAAGGGTCCAGGGGACGCATCACAGCAAGTCGGTGGCGAGCTGCGAAGCCCGACCCTCCATTGAAACCCCTTCACCATCCGAGCACCATCCGCTCTGATTTGTATCTCAGCCATCCCTCCACGTTGCGACTCCTCAGGCCCGCGCCTCCTCCTCAGCCTTCCTCGGACGCCAACGCCAACGCCGATGGCGACGCCGATGTCGACGCCGACGACGACGCCGACGACGCCGACGGCGACGCTGGCGACGCCGACGACGACGACGCCGATGCTGGCGACGACGACGACGACGACGCCGACGACGACGGCAGCGGCTTTGACGGTGGCGTTGGCGGCGCCGACGACGACGCCAACGACGACGGCGGCGGCGGTGACGGCGGCGGGAGCGGTGACGGCGGCGGCAGCGGGGCCGGCCCGGTGCGGCCTCGAGGAGCCTCCTGCGGGGGCGGCTCCACCGATAAAGTTGGAGCCGAAGGCGTGGCGTGGGGGTCTGCGCTCGAAGCCCCCGCGCCATCCCTCGTCGTCCTCTGCTCCTCCGCTCTCGTCCTCGTGTCGGTCCTTTCTCGTCCTCCGTCCTCCTCCCTGCTCGATTTTGTGTATCCTTCATCCATCCTCCCGCCTTCCTCTTCCAGTCTCCTCTTCCGTTCTCCGTCCTCTCCTCAACCCTCCGTGCTCTCATAATTACGATTCGTCTCCCTCGTTGTATAGTTGTCACCCTCAATATTATTATTAGTATTATGGTTATTATTTTTACTATTAGGTGTTGCTTCTTCTTCCTCATCCTCTTCTCTTCCGTCCTCTCCTTTATCTCCCATCCTCCCTCCTGCTTCCTCCTCCGTCCTCTCCTCCGCCTCGTCCTCCCTCATCCCCCCTTCCGCCTACTCCTCCTCCTCCTCCTCCTCCTTCTCCTCCTTCTCCTCCTCCTTCTCCTCCCACCGCTGGGGGGATCTGCGAGAGGAGAGGTCCTGACCCTGACGTGCCAAGGCGCTTCGAGACACATGTTACCGTTGCGTCTTGTACTGTGTGGCAGCGATACTTCTTCGGCCTTGCGAGCCCGAATGATAATGTTTCCTCATGCGCGTTCTCCTCGGGGGGATGGGGGGGGCAAAGTCATTTGCAGAAATACTGGAACTTTTCTTGTCCCCGCCCCCCCCCAGCCCCCCCCCCCAGAGCCCTCGAATATACAGCAAACACGTCAAGTAAACAGTTCGGCTCTATTCTACTCGCCTCCTCGAGCGCCATCCGAAGCTGCGCTACGGTTGCAGCCTATGTCATCCGCCCCCTCCTCCTGGACCCCGAGTGGCCTCACCCGAGCAGTCACCAAGGAGGCCGACGGGAGATCCCTTGCTTCGTTACCGCACCATGCAGACAAGGGGTGTCTCGAAGGACAAGCGTCAAAAGAGGTTTTCCAATGTCTTCGGCCCCCCGGGGGTCGCTCAAAAACAGGTCAGGATCGAACAAGTGGTCTGGGGAGAGCTCCGGGGTCCAGGACCGGCGTCCCTTACGCCAGGTGGCAAAGGCGCATACGGCGAGTCACCGCCGCCCCCTGCCTTTCTGGAGACGCCGATGTGGACAAGCCGTTCGGCCAAAACTTTGGCAAGCTATTCGGTTGTGTCTCCCCCCTGGTATACAGAGAGCTCCAAGGGACCTGAGGAAATCACGCCCAGTGCCTGCGTGGCCGATTGGACGTCGACTGAGGCTAGCACCCGATACTCCAGACGAAGCGTCGTCAGTGTTGTGTCAAGCAACTCATGTCCGACACATTCCCAATCGACCTGGGCAAACGCATACACAGACACCGCAGTCGTATGTTCGACATGGAGATGCCATGCACAAAGGCGTTTGGAAGCTAACGCGACCAGATGAAACGAGTTGGGCAGCGTGGCCGATATAACCCAGCAGCGACATCAGCGCTAAGACCCAATGTCACTAGAGGACAACTCGGCTGAGCATCCTTACGGAGCCATCCTTGGTTCGTGGACCCCCATCATCACCAGAATCTTCACCCTTCACGGGGGAGCGGCAGAAGTGTTCAGCGCGCATGAAGTTCACTGCAGACCGTAACGCTTCAGCGCTTGCTCGTCTCGTGTCGAGTGGTTGGATGGGATCTAGCCAGTCGCAGGATATTGTATTCAATAGCGTGGACATGGTTGTCTTTATTAATCGCTTCGCTCACTCCGCCGGCCCTGGAGCCCTCTTTAGGGCCTGGGGGGCCTCTTGGAGACCTCGTGGGAGTCTCTTGGGGCTCCTTGGCGGCGTCTTGGGGGCCCCCAGGGCCTCTTCGGTGGCTCTTGGGGGCCTCTTGGGGCGGGAGGGGGGTAGTCGATTGCGGCTCCCCCCTCGGAGGCCACGATCCTCGTGAGGGGTGTCGAAAAATGGCCCTCTCCTGGAGTGCTCTGGGGGGACCTGACCGGGACCTGGCCGTGGTACTTTTCGTCCGGTGGCCCCCAGGGGCCGTTCCGCGCGCGCGAACTAGAAATATTGTTAACCAGTTACCGGAGATCTTAGCACGCCTCTGGCCCGTTGGGCCGGCGAATTGTCATGCAGTGCTCACTGGGGATAGGTGAGCGCCGTGCTTCGAGAAAACAGCTGCCGCGGCTGAATTTCGAGTGTGTTGTCTGAGTGAACATGTAGCTGCCTACGGCAAGCTCCGCCCCCGCGCCAGTGCAGCAGCGCAGCAGGACAGGTGCTGAGTTTCAGTTTCAATGTTGAGTTTCCTATAAAACAGTGCCATCTGCCAGCGCCGTTCCTGAACACTGCCTGTTTGTCCGCGGCTTCGTTCTCCCCTTCTGCCTTCGTATATTGTGGCCCTCCTGGCGGCCCGTTGGGGACTTCTGGGGCTCTCAGAGCAGTTGTGTTACCGAGCTCTCCCGGAGAGGCTCGGCTGAACCACCTCAGGGCATCCGGGCAAGTATGGAGTCCGTTTTGTTAATGTTGCCTTCTTTTGTGCAGTTGTTCATGTTCTGGTTCTGCGTGAACCGCTCAGCCTACACTCATGCCGAGTACGCGTGAAAGCCGTCAGGTCGGATCCGTTTTTTTACGTTGTCCGGGCCTTGACCGTCTCTGCATTCCCTCAGACGCCTCGTTCGCTGCCTTGGCGCCTGTCACTTTCTGCTCATCACCTGCACGTGCTCCAAGTGGCCTGGCAGACCCTATCTGTGCGCGTGTGCCCTTCGGAGGCTGCGCTGGAATAGTGCCCCCTGCCAGTCTCAACAGTCTCTGGCTAGGGATCGATCGCCCGTCTGGCGGCACCGAGCCTCAGATGCGCCCACAAACAGAGTTCGTGGCGAGGTCGGGTGTTCTGACGCCCGAGTTCCTTTCTTGTTTCATCGCCTGACTGGGTCCCTCTAGCCAGGGCGAGGCAACACGTCATACGGGTAAGAATGCAGTTGGGGCCCCCGCGTCCCAAGCACGAATGAAGGGCTCCTTCTTCCTCCTTCTCATTTTTCCTCCTCATTCCTCCTCCCTCCCTTCTCCTCCCTCCTCCTCACTCCTCATCCCTCCTCCTCCTCCTCCTCCTCCTCCTCCCTTCTCCTCATCCTCCTCCCTCCTCCTCCCGCTTTCTCCCTTCTTCCTCTTCCCTTCTCCCTCCTCTTCCATCTCTTTCTCAAGCCATGTCGCCTCGAGCTGCTGCGGCCCGGGATTGGGTGCCTCGCCTCCACGTGGCGCTTGAGGCACATCCGCGCCACGATCTCTGTTCGATAACCTCCCCAGGTTACGAGCGGCGCGCGTTCCGTGCAGCCTTTCCCAGGCTGGGGGGGCTGCGTAGTTCGACAAAATTCGCTAGAGTATCGGTTGCAAGGGTTCCGCAGGTATCTCAATTGCTGGACCAGAATATTGCATCAGATGATTGCCGATGGCGTTGCAAGGAAAAGACAATGCCAGGGAGCTCAGAAAGAGCGAGTTCTGTGGTCGCTTGGAGGAGGGGGTGGGGTTGAACCCCCCCCCTCTCTTCCGTGACGGAGGGGGGGGTGCTCAACCCCCGCCCTTCTCCCTCGCTCCGCCCCTTCTCTTCCTCTTTCCCTCTCCTCGTGCTGGCGCCGGCGTCTCCAATGCAGCGTGCCGCGGTGGCGGCCCGCTGAAGTTGCCGCGTGAGGTCGCTGTGTCATCTCGTGTGAGACCCGTTTTTATCGTCGTTTGTGTGGGCTTCGAGCGAGCCCCTCCGCCAGCCTTCTGATGGGCATTTGTGAAGCCTCCTGGGCGCCTCTTGGGCGTCTATCGGGGCCTCACATGTGGCGGTGGTGGTGGGTGGTGGTGGCGGTGGTGGTGGTGGCGGTGGTGGTGGAGGTGGTGGTGGTGGTGGTGCTGAGGTGGTCGTTGGTGGTGGTGGTGGTTGTGGTGGTTGATGTGGTGGCGGTGGTGGTGGTGGTGTGGCGGTTTGTGGTGGTGGTGGTAGTTGTGGTGGTGGGTGGAGGTGGCGGTGCTGTGGTGGTTCATCGTGGTGGTTGTGGTGGTGGTAGTGGTTGTGGTGGTGTGGTGGTTCATCGTGGTGGTTGTGGTGGTGGTAGTGGTTGTGCCGCGAAGTGGTTTGTGGTGGGGGTGGTGGTGGTGGTCGTGGCGGTGGTGGTGGTGGTGTGGTGTTTTGTTGTGGTGGTGGTGGTTGTTATGGTGGTGGGATTGGTGGGGTGGTTTTTGGTGGTGGTGGTGGTGGTGGGCTGTGGTGGTGGTGGCGGTTGTGGTGGTGGTTCTGGTGTGGTGGTTTGTGGTGGTGGTAATGGCTGTGGTGGTGAAAATGGCGGGTTGTTGTTTTGGTGGAGGTGGTGGTTGTGGCGGTGGTGTGGTGGTGGGTCGTGGCGGCGGTGGTGGTGGTGGTGGTGGTGGCGGTGGTGGTGGTGTGGTGGTTTGTGCTGGTGGTGGTGGTTTGGTACTTTGTTGGTGGTGGTGCGTTGTGGTGGTGATCGTGGTGTTGGTGGTTGTGGCGGTGGCGGTGGTGGTGTGGTGGGTTGTTGTGGTGGTGGTAGTGGTGGTGGGTTGTTGTTGTGGTGGTGGTGGTGGTGGGTTGTTGTGGTGGTGGTGGTGGTGTGTGTGGTGGTTGGTTGTGTGGTGGTTTGTGGTGGTGGTGGTGGTGGGCTATGGCTATGGTGGTGGTGGTTGTAGTGGTGGTGGCGGTGGTGGTTGTTGTCGTGTTGTGGATTGTGGTGGTGGTGGTTGTGGTGGGTTGGGTTGTGGTAGTGGTGCGTTGTGGTGACGGTGGTGGTGGTGTTGTGGTTTATGGAAGTGGTTGTTGTGGTTGTGGTGGGTGGTGTGTTGTGGTTGTGGTGGTGGTTGTTGTGGTGGTGGTGGTGTGCGGTGGTTTGCGGTGGTGAGGGTGGTTGTGGTGGTGGTGGTGGGTTGTGGTGGTTGTGTTTGTGTTAGTGGTGGCGGTGGTGGTGGTGGGTGTTTTTGTTGGGCCCCCCCCCCGTTTCGAAACGCGCCGCCGCATGTTCCCGAGGCAAGCGCCCGTGAAACGCGCTCTCTCGGATTTCAGCATAATCA